TAGTTTTATATCAGCTTATTAATTATACACATTCAAATTTAAAAAATAATTAAACTAAATTATGTATTAAAATCTATAAGGTTTGGTATGAAATTTCAAGATCAATTATTGTAAACTTCCAGTAAAAGAGTAATGGCCAAATTTTACCTATTAAACACAAATTAAAATTAAATGCTAAAATCGCACACTTACCCAGATTGTTATTTCGATATTTTCAGCCCTTTTTCCGCTTTGTTTCCACGGCTATGTCTTGTAACAATCTTCGTCTTTTACCAACTGTATTAATCGAAAATCGGTTTCTTATCTATAAGGTCTTACCGGATAGTGAATTAATCAGTACTAATTACGGCTTAACATACAATGATGACCTATTTTTTAAGATTTTTTTGAGTGAATTTTCACACCAACACCTCAAACAAGCTCACTACTTTCCGCACACTGTAAAAATTTACATGTGGCGAAAACAGGGAATTCTATTTTTTCGGTAACCTGTTAGCAGCACTGTTTTCAATATGTCTGCCTGCAGTGCATTTGCTGTCAAAGTCAAATTCAGGTAAACATTTTAATTTCATCATTTTTAACATTAACAGTACATACAATGTAATCAGGCAAAATTGAATAAAAATGGCTCAAGGAGTATTGAGCTCGGATATCTCCAGAAGAAACCCACAGGATGACTACGAATTAATTCAGCGAATAGGGAGTGGGACTTATGGGGACGTTTATAAGGTATTTATTATAATTTTAGATCTACAAATAGTATCCTCACGGTTTTCTATTTCCAGGCTAAAAGACTCTCAACTAACGATTTTGCTGCGATAAAAGTGATAAAACTAGAACCTGGTAAGTTTATTTTTACTAGTTATGTATAGGCCAGTCAGTCTAGTTTGTAAATTTTACTACTAGTCAAAACAAGTTTTATAAATCATCTCTAAATTAGATTTATTTTGTTCTTATATTAAGTAGATAATTAAACTTTAATTGCTTTGATTTGGAAACTGATCAAAGATTCAAGACAATCTAGTTATTTTTTGTAATTGCTTGATTGCTATAAATAAATAATAATTATGGAGCTCATAGTTTGTTATTGTTTTGTTGGCTGAAAATTGTATGGTAGACATAAGACCTTCAATTTGGTTTTTACCTGGAGATTCATTTATTGATAACTAATTTGAAAAGCTGTTCTTTCCTGTAACTTTCCAAGATTTAACAGGCATCATTATCTTGATAAAGATCTGACTTTGTTTAACAATCTTAAGTATTTGTAATTGTAATATTTTAGAATTTCAAATGTATTGTATGTATTTTGTTGCTATGGAGGCATATAGCTATGCTACATGTGGATTTTTTGTACATAATAGTTTTATATTGTCAATGTTTAATCTTCTCAAATCTATGATCTATGGTGAATGCATATATTAGAATATTTCTACTTTATTGTCCAATATATGCAATAAGTTTCTTTGCTAGATCCTAGCCTACCCAGTCTATGCCAGTTTTTGCTCTAGCCTTCAGTCTTGGTATTTCCATTATTAATTCTTACCATTATAGCCTTATGTTCTACATATATTCATTCACCAACTGACCAATATGAACATTATAATGAAAAAGAAAAGGTAGATATTGAACAGATTTTGTTTAGTGTTTAAAAGATATTCCCACAGATTTCAATATTTTGCTCATCATGGCATTAGAAAATAAACAATTACATAGGTTGTCACTTTCTAATTTAATTTTATTTGCTTATTAATGTTTACAAAAGTTTTAACAAAGCTACACCTTAAAAACAATAAATTTTTAAAATATCAATAATCATAAAACTATATATAAGCTGTGAATAATAAACTATCAATATTGTCAATACTTAACAAACTTTAACATAACTATCGAGGGTAGACTAGTATTGACATGTAAAAGAGATCACTTATTATAAGATACCTTTTTGTTGTTTTTTCAGTTGTTTATTAACCCTCCTTTCCACAGATGACTTCCTTGTAACACAAATCCATGGGTGGGGTATATCAGGACTAAATTTTAAACATTATTTTTCTCATTAAAAAAATTGTTTTTTAAAATATTTATAAGGAAACTTACTGATGTAACGTTGCACTACCTAAATGTACATATAATATGTGTATCAATATGTATTGGTATAGCTTACTGCGAAATAACTACCACCATTATTTTTTTACAAGAGTTTATTAAAAAAATCATGAACAGTAAAATACAAAAGAAAATTATAAAAAAAAAACAATATATTATGACACTATATACTTATCGTAATACAAGTAAAAACTAAATATCCAAAATTAAAATTCGAAAAATGAAAATAGAGGGGGTTAAATATTGTTAATTTTGTTCCTACACAATCGGCATACATTGAACATTGCATGAACTCTTCAAGTCCGTAGGTACAACATACCGGTTGTTCCTAGGGACACGTACATACATACAAAAAAAGTGATAAAATGGGTAGAAAATTATGCATTTTCGAATTAGCTTTACAAAGGTATGATCAACTGTACAGATTTTATTATTTTTTAATATCTTTATTTGTCTAATTTATAAAAATCAAATTGTAAAAATTGTCCCTAGGTACATGTTTCCCAACAGTTTTCCCTCCTCCTCACTTCTTGAGCTCTTGTCAGGACGTGGTGACACTCTAAAAATTATTAGATTGCTGTCTCCATTGGCTGCAATCCTGTGACATATGGACTTTTCATGTAGGGATTTTCCCACTGGGAAGGAGTCTTCATTTAGTCTGCTCATCGTGTTGGAGATCTTCCTCTTGGTCTTTAGCCTTCTACCTTTTTCTCTACTACCAATAGTTCCATGATCCCCGTTCTTCTAGCTATGTGGCCGAAGTAAATTAAGTATGCTCGGTTTACTTTATAACAATTTATAAAATAAAAACAAATAAAAAACAATAACTGCAGTCTTCAATTTTAAAAACTAATTTAATAAAATTATAACATAGATATCAACAGATCGGTTGTTGACAAACTCCCGTACGAAAGTGCGGATTTAGAAATTTAACTTCGAGTAGGGACTTATGTTCCTGGATGTGGACTAATAACATCGGCATATTGCCGCATCATTTAATACTTTTAAGCATGCTTTCTTCAATGTAAATCCAGCCACTGTTTGGTTTTGCAGTTAGTTAAACAAGTTCCTCGAAGTAAGTAATCTAAACCACGTTTTAATTATTTATAATTATTACATTATTATTTATTATTATTACTTAATCTAAATTGAGAGGTAGTTTGAACATTTTTTCTATTGACTTGGATGGAATGTAGAAAGCACATCCGGTCCCTTCCGATGTTTTGAATGCATCTGTATAGATTACAATTGCCATGGGCCATTTTTTTATATAAGAATTTGAGATGCATGAATATAATAATGGAGTACTATAATAGTACGCGGTTTGTCAAAAAATATGAATTTTATGTAAGAACTAACAATATACACAATTCATATTTTTTGAAAAACATCGCATATAACTGAAAAAATTTAATATCTGATAATTATGTTCTAGTTTTTGGCATTTGGAACATGAAGAACTTTTGGGCAATGATTAGTTTAGAGCACTCAACATAACCAAATATATTTTCCTCAAGGCACCGCGTCACAGTGTTGCCATATTTTTTTTTGTAAAATATGTATATGAATGTTTAAAATATAAGGTTACTTTTACGAAATTATAATTTGTGTTATGGGAAACTACAAGTTTTGAATAAGTATAAAACAGCATTTATAAATATTTTCTGTTACTTTAAATGCAGTTAAATATTGTAAATTATGTGACAACACTTTCCACATATTGTCTATTAGGACCTTCTTATTATTAGGTGCGAATGGTCAACTCCCTACAATGACACTTGTGAATCATAAATTGTAAATTTCCGAAGAAGTTTTTATTGTACTTATATGCATATAATTATTATCATTAATTTAATTAAAATCTAAGAATTTTTATATAATTTCAATGCATTTCTATATTATGTGAGAGTATGAAAAAACTGAAGATATGGCAACTCTGACACCAATTTAAGTTTACATTAAATGTCAAATACAAGTTTGGTTATGATTGGGTGCCCTAAACTAATCATTGCCCGAACTTTTTATAAAGAATAACTTTTTTTCATAAAATAAAAAATATATATACTTACTTAGTTTAGCATAAAAATATAATTTTCCCTCATAAATGATTATCTTCCTATGTACGTAATCTTCACATTTTTTACTAAACTCTACCTTTTATAACTATTTTTCACTCCATATACAGCTAACGATAAATTTAGATTGTTGTTTTTATTATCATGAGGAATTGGTATTCTGATAAATTCACGGTAAAAATGAAAAAAGTTTTTGGATAGTTTTATATCAGCTTATTAATTATACACATTCAAATTTAAAAAATAATTAAACTAAATTATGTATTAAAATCTATAAGGTTTGGTATGAAATTTCAAGATCAATTATTGTAAACTTCCAGTAAAAGAGTAATGGCCAAATTTTACCTATTAAACACAAATTAAAATTAAATGCTAAAATCGCACACTTACCCAGATTGTTATTTCGATATTTTCAGCCCTTTTTCCGCTTTGTTTCCACGGCTATGTCTTGTAACAATCTTCGTCTTTTACCAACTGTATTAATCGAAAATCGGTTTCTTATCTATAAGGTCTTACCGGATAGTGAATTAATCAGTACTAATTACGGCTTAACATACAATGATGACCTATTTTTTAAGATTTTTTTGAGTGAATTTTCACACCAACACCTCAAACAAGCTCACTACTTTCCGCACACTGTAAAAATTTACATGTGGCGAAAACAGGGAATTCTATTTTTTCGGTAACCTGTTAGCAGCACTGTTTTCAATATGTCTGCCTGCAGTGCATTTGCTGTCAAAGTCAAATTCAGGTAAACATTTTAATTTCATCATTTTTAACATTAACAGTACATACAATGTAATCAGGCAAAATTGAATAAAAATGGCTCAAGGAGTATTGAGCTCGGATATCTCCAGAAGAAACCCACAGGATGACTACGAATTAATTCAGCGAATAGGGAGTGGGACTTATGGGGACGTTTATAAGGTATTTATTATAATTTTAGATCTACAAATAGTATCCTCACGGTTTTCTATTTCCAGGCTAAAAGACTCTCAACTAACGATTTTGCTGCGATAAAAGTGATAAAACTAGAACCTGGTAAGTTTATTTTTACTAGTTATGTATAGGCCAGTCAGTCTAGTTTGTAAATTTTACTACAGTCAAAACAAGTTTTATAAATCATCTCTAAATTAGATTTATTTTGTTCTTATATTAAGTAGATAATTAAACTTTAATTGCTTTGATTTGGAAACTGATCAAAGATTCAAGACAATCTAGTTATTTTTTGTAATTGCTTGATTGCTATAAATAAATAATAATTATGGAGCTCATAGTTTGTTATTGTTTTGTTGGCTGAAAATTGTATGGTAGACATAAGACCTTCAATTTGGTTTTTACCTGGAGATTCATTTATTGATAACTAATTTGAAAAGCTGTTCTTTCCTGTAACTTTCCAAGATTTAACAGGCATCATTATCTTGATAAAGATCTGACTTTGTTTAACAATCTTAAGTATTTGTAATTGTAATATTTTAGAATTTCAAATGTATTGTATGTATTTTGTTGCTATGGAGGCATATAGCTATGCTACATGTGGATTTTTTGTACATAATAGTTTTATATTGTCAATGTTTAATCTTCTCAAATCTATGATCTATGGTGAATGCATATATTAGAATATTTCTACTTTATTGTCCAATATATGCAATAAGTTTCTTTGCTAGATCCTAGCCTACCCAGTCTATGCCAGTTTTTGCTCTAGCCTTCAGTCTTGGTATTTCCATTATTAATTCTTACCATTATAGCCTTATGTTCTACATATATTCATTCACCAACTGACCAATATGAACATTATAATGAAAAAGAAAAGGTAGATATTGAACAGATTTTGTTTAGTGTTTGAAAGATATTCCCACAGATTTCAATATTTTGCTCATCATTGCATTAGAAAATAAACAATTACATAGGTGTCACTTTCAAATTTAATTTTATTTGCTTATTAATGTTTACAAAAGTTTTAACAAAGCTACACCTTAAAAACAATAAATTTTTAAAATATCAATCATAAAACTATATATACTGTGAATAATAAACTATCAATATTGTCAATACTTAACAAACTTTAACATAACTATCGAGGGTAGACTAGTATTGACATGTAAAAGAGATCACTTATTATAAGATACCTTTTTGTTGTTTTTTCAGTTGTTTATTAACCCTCCTTTCCACAGATGACTTCCTTGTAACACAAATCCATGGGTGGGGTATATCAGGACTAAATTTTAAACATTATTTTTCTCATTAAAAAAATTGTTTTTTAAAATATTTATAAGGAAACTACTGATGTAACGTTGCACTACCTAAATGTACATATAATATGTGTATCAATATGTATTGGTATAGCTTACTGCGAAATAACTACCACCATTATTTTTTTACAAGAGTTTATTAAAAAAATCATGAACAGTAAAATACAAAAGAAAATTATAAAAAAAAAACAATATATTATGACACTATATACTTATCGTAATACAAGTAAAAACTAAATATCCAAAATTAAAATTCGAAAAATGAAAATAGAGGGGGTTAAATATTGTTAATTTTGTTCCTACACAATCGGCATACATTGAACATTGCATGCATATCGGCATACATATGCATTGAACATATAAAATCCTACAAATGATTTTATATGTTCCATATATAACTAATTTTTGCACGATTGGCAAAAATACTTATTTTTTCATTTTTTACAATACTTACACCATCCTGTTTTCCGGGGCAGGGTAATCCCTCATCGTTTCCCTTAATTCCAGAAAATTTTGCAGCAAATAACCGTGATGTTCTTGGTATACGCATATTTAGGGCTCGTATTTAGCACTGGACCAATCATATAGTTGGTTCATTGATACCATAATTAGTGTGGTGAAATGGCACTGACAAGATTCCCGATTGTTGTTTCTACTGGGTACTTTAAGACTAATGAGTGATAACAATTGAGGACAAGCTATAATAACATTAATGACTTTGTGCAGGAAACATAAATCTAACAGTGTCCTCCTTTACTCAAGTGTTGGTAAATCAATACTGTCTCTTATCTGCTAATAGTCATATTCCTCTCTCTGATATCCACTCCTAAAAGCTACTATTCCCAAAATGTTTTTTGGACCTTTTCAATCTGTTCAATGTAAGGGACCATACAACTGATCCATACTTTAGAATGGGCCTAACAAGACTGCAATAAAGTCTTCTAAATATGAACAAACACAGGTCTACATTTGTGTGTTGGATAAATTCCAGTACTTTGATCACCCTTTTTGTTAATTGATTGATGTGGCTTGAGAATGACAGTTTGGTGCCTAACCAGATTCCCAATTCGGATACTTCATTTTTAGAGGCCAATAGCAAGTTATTTATAAAATAAGCAAATGTAAAATCTGTAATTTTTCGAAACCAAATTAAGATTTTTGTTTTAATCTGTGCCTTCTAAGAATTGCAAGGCAAAACAGACGTTGATAAAGATGTTATTAGAGACATGGGGAATCTAAAATTTGCATTCCACGACATCTCTTCAACTAAGCAAAAATCCTTAGCGAATTGGTTTCTTGTACTTATTCAGAGTAATCGGAATAAAAAGGAAAAGACAGTTAAGATTTGATTTCATGTATAGTGCGTCTATGTATCCGCTTATATGTATTTCTGCCTAATAGTCCTCTTTAGAACGGCTATTCATAGTCGCTCTGAACATGAAAATAAATCTCTTCTGTCTTAAGAAGCAACTTTAACATGGCTTCGAATTTACGCAAATAGCAACATCTGATATTAAAATCCGTGAACTAATTTTAGAAAAAAAAATTCAGATTTTTGCTTTAATCTGTGCCTTCTAAGAATTGCAAGGCAAAACAGACGCTGATAAAGATGTTATTATGCAAATGTAATTCGTTTTCTTTGCTTAGAAAATGTTGTTTTATAACATTTGTTTATGTTAAGCAACATTTTGTTTAAACTGCACCAATCATAAAATGAGAAATAAGATCTTTGTGCAATAGATATAGAGCAATAGAACAGCATGATTCCAGGATTTAATTTTTCTGAACAGTTTTACATTGTCAGTAAACATTTGAACAGTGCAATTTTTGATTTTTCTGTATTAAATTGATCAGAGATAAACAGAGTAAACAGGGCCACAATGGGAGCCTAGTGGCACCCCTGATGGTACCATTATTTCAAATGAGGTGTCACTCCCTAACTGTCTGTGTACAGCCGTTAATAAATTCTAAAATCCATTGTAAAAGGGGATCCACAATACCCTAAGCTCTTAGTTTTTGTAATTAGTTAGTTTTTATCTACAGTGTGACCACAGATAGGGTGCCCAAGAGGAGAAACGTTTTATTTTTAGCTAAATTATTGATAAAAGTTTCTTGATGTTCTAAAATGAAAACAATTCAAATTTTAAAACCTGTTTGTTTTCTAGTCAATTTTCTGTAACTCCCTTACAAATTTTTGTACTAAGTTTGGAAATATAAAAATATTCTAGTAAATGATGTTTACATTAGGTTTGTTCTAGCATCAGTTTCAAATGGTTTGAAACCATCAGCGAATAGTGGACCAGTGCGAGTAGAGGGGATATAGCACTGGTGACTATATTATTTTCTCTGGCTGACCAACTGTTTGCTGACGGTTTCTGACTAGTTTGTCTGTTTGCTAGAACAAACCTAATAATAACCTAGTTAGTGACTTTACAATGTACCTTAATAACTGTCAACTCTGTCAAAACTGTCATTATTTTTCAACAATGCTAACTCTTCAACAAAGAATATATCTTGTAAAGGGCTATAGATTGGTGATATTTACTACAGATGAGCAAGTCAAATATTTGCTCTAGTTTTTGTCTGAAGTGGATGCCACCTTGATTGCTGTATGATCACACATCCAAGCCAGTATAGTGAAAACATCATTTGGTCATTTAGAGTGGTTATTTCTTATTTGCAAACATGGATTTGAACAATTTATTGTAACATCAGAGAATTAGCATAAAATATACCTGCTTACAAGTATCTTCTGAAATATATCTTATACAAGTATTTTTGTGCTACATTGGAAGAAGTTTGGAATATATATCCCAAGGCAAAAGATACATAGTAGATGATTTCAATTTAACTGAGGCTTTATTGAGGCTAACACAATACATATCTCTTTTCCAGTTAACAGTAGTGCTTTGGTTCTTGCCCAGTTTTCTTATTTTAACTTGTTTCAGATATGTTTGATACCCAACAATAGGAATGTTTGTTTATATCATTTTTTATTTACGAAATCAAATGACCTACTATTTAATGATCACTTTCATCATGTTTCTTATAGCTATTGTTTGAATGTCAATGCTTAGATGGCTGACAATTTAAGTTGAAAGAATATTATTTTGACTATAAGAATGCTGATTTAGTTAACCTAAATTATTATTTTTTTATTAATTGGAGTCACATTATGGATACAAATCATTTAAATTTAATGCTACGAAATTTTATGAGATCTTATATTATGCTATTAACCAATAATTTGTTCATTACAAGAAATATAAATCTTGTAATTTTCCTACTTATATTAGTTCTCATCTTAATATTTACATGATTTAAAAAAAATGTACTTAAATTAATGATTATATTCTATTTTCTGAGCTTGCAGCTAGATGCAAAGTGTAGTGTCAGTATATTACATTTGTCAATAGAAATCCCCAGTCCTGTCTGGCATAGTGCGATTGTGAAAGCATTTGAGGAACATGACATTTGAGGTAGCTGACATCTACACTACTTTTTAAAGCATTTGTTATGGTGAACCAGTCCATATTATTGAATACATTTGATGCCTTCAATTTCACCCTTGATGGTTAAGTGGTTTGGAGACTTTTTATGTGGACAAATTCAAAAGGTGAAAATAGGGAATTATTGTTCTGATGTTATTGAGGCAAGGGACATGAGCGTACATGCATAATTTGCGAAAAAATCCAGAAATGACATTGAATTTTTTAAAAATTTACTGAAAGGGGGTCATGAGTTGTAATTGCAAGGTAGACATGATGGAGGGCTTCCTCGCTAGAATGAAACAGACGGGACATTAAGCTATGATGAAGAGGTGGGGGGTATTAAAAAGCCAACATTTTTTACAACATAATACATGAATGCTCCCTTTATAGTTGATTTTCAAACCACGATAAAATTGATTGATCAATTTAGAGAAAAATATAGCCATTGCACCCCTCAATGTACCCGTTTTCATTAGCAGCATGAAGACAAATGTATCTACAAAAAAAATTATTTATGTTTTCACTATAATTAAATATATTACTGTTTTCCATCAGTTTGAATAGATTTTACACTTCTTGTATTCTTCTTATCATGGGCGACATATAGATCCATTCTTAAAAATCTAGTTTCATCTATAAAAACAAACTTATATAATCTCAAAAATTCTGCTCTCTTCACAGCTCTCTCTACAACAACCACTAAACAGTTCTTTTTCCTTTGTTAGAAATTGTGTGTGCTGTAATTTTTAAAGTTTTTGTAAATTGATTTTCTTTTGATTTGTCTCAGTAATTTAGATGTCTCATGTGTTTTTTCAGATCTATTACATCTATAATCTCGATAGGCTTTGTCTCTCTATTTAATTGCATGTTTATATTCTTGATTCCACCGTGGATGTTTCTGTTTTTTTGTTTAAGGGGATTCTTTTTTTAGTTTTATCAATAATTTTTGTTTGGAACTACCGCCAAATTTCTGCAGGCGACTCGTTCCATTTTTATTCTTCAATCTTTTTCATATCAAATTTGGTATCACAGGTGTTTTCTTTTTGAAATTTTTTCTTATCGTGAATTTAACTTTAATTTATGTTAAGTAATGGTCAGCATTGATGTTGGCCCTCTTCATACTTTAAACAGTGTATGTCATGCAGTTATATGAAATTGTGGTCAATTTGAAATTCTCTAAGGAGATCGCCAGGTTTTTTGTTTCTTCGGATTTTTCATCTTGGATGTTGACATGATTTTAAGGTTGTTTTGTCTGTATAGGCCAGGTAATCTTATGACATTTTTGTTGAGGAAACTTTAATCGATGGTCAGTGCTACATTCATCTCATCTCTTTACCTGTGTATCTTTAATTTTCATGGTATTACTTTTGTTAACAATTATGTAATTGATAATGGATCTAATGTTTCTCATTGTTTGTATATATGTGTATTTATGTATGTCCTTACGTCTGAAGAAGCCATTTGTAATTTTTAATTCGTTCAGTTCATAAAAATGAATAAAAAACGAAAACCTAAACTGATATGGCTGAAATTCTAATGATTTATTGATTTTAACAAGATAACCTGTAAACCAAATTTTATTAAAATAAATTATATATAATGGGTGTTTAATTTTCGATATCACTTAGAATATAAAATATCAGTAAAAGCATCAATAGATAGACTTAAATGAAATAAAAATTGAGATCGGGATACGGTAGAGAGATACAATATCACCTAAAGTATTCACTCTGGCCTTCAAAGGAATATTCAAGAAGGTTAATTCGACCTAAAGAAGGATTGAGACGACTTTTGTTTTTCATCTTCTAGTGAAGTAAAAGTATTGGTCTTATTTGTTATAATCGGTGTCCGTCATTCCTTTGGAATTGTATAATGATTAAAAATTGTCTCAAGTAATGTTGTCAACTCCTTGCACTATAATTTCTCATCTGTATTTCAGTAATCCATTTGGAATTTTGTGCTTTTCAGGACTTTTCCTGTTCTTTAACTTCTATAGTGAAGATTTTATTGATACATAATTCATTGAATGCACATGTTTACCATGATTTTTATAATAAATACTAAATAATAATTATGATTTTTAATTTATTAGGTGATGATTTTGGAATCATACAGCAAGAGATTCTTATGATGAGAGACTGTCTACATCCCAATATTATAGCGTATTATGGTAGTTATTTGCGTAGGGATAAACTATGGATTTGTATGGAATATTGTGGAGGTGGTTCTCTACAGGATATATACCACAGTAAGTATAGATTAAATATGTTTTTCCAGATTAGAAGGTAAATTGATATGATTGACACAATATGTTGAACATATTGATTATGTATATAAATTTATTTTATTACATTTTATAAATAGAACACACAAAACTGATATATTCTGAATTTTTAGAAAAGTTATTAATTAAATCGTCACAACTTTTCTATTTATTCAATTTATTTATTCTGTGTATTTGTGGAGTGGTGTAATATGCAGAAGGGGAGAATTATTTATCTCACATGAATCATTAAGAAATATGCCCTTGTTAATTAATTGGTTTCCATTGACCCTTAAGTTAGCCAGTTTTCTAGTGAATTTGTAAAATTTTATAGGTGTTGAATCTTATATATTTATTTTACATAATATCTAATTTATTGTCCTTATTATTTACTTTATACAGCCTGGGTAATAATCTATCGTCATATGGACTAGTGGATGGAGTGAGAAACACCTGTTTAAAAAGAGAGAGGTATATTAGGCCCGCCCTTTATATCGTTGAAAATGCATTAGTGGAAATAATAAATTCAACAGAAGAGGGGAAGTTCAACGTTGCCAATTTTATTGGTTTTATTTGACCTGTTGTATTTTTAGCATTTGAACAATGTTTTAAGATAATCAAATTTGGCGAATTGATTTAAATGGCAGCTTACTATTTTTTATTGGGAATATGCCACAATTTTACTTTACAATAAATTTAATTTAACATTTTGATTTCCACTTCGGAAATAGTTTGTATAAATAAAATTTATTAATGTTTCCTATTTTAAGTACAATTTCCGAATTGGAAATCTAAACATCAAAATAAGTTTATTTTAAAGTCACATTGTGATTATTCCCAATAAAAATAATAAACTGCATTATGACGCCACAATAAAAAAGCTTCGTTCAAAATTATTTGGCAACGTCGCGTCGTCTAAGTAACGACTCTTTGATTTTAATACTGTGGTAATGAGCAGAACAGAACTAATTTGGTATGCCATGCGTATTGCTTGGGTTCGTGGTTTGGTCTTTCATAAAGCATAGCATAGCAATAAATAGAGACAGTACTAGTAAAGCAATAGGAAGGAGTAGGTGTATTGTATTAAGTTTAAACTGGATGAAAAATTACGTCTTTTAATTAAAAATAAGATTCTATTTGGTATTTTCCAAATAATATCTTTGAAACCATATTTTTGTTTTGTTTTCACACCTACTTACCAAATTAGTATGTGTGAAAATAAAAATTAGTTCTATAAAAATTCAACAAAAAAAATCAAATTAGTATAAAAGTATAAAAGGAATTTTTAAATATTTTGTTTTATTTTTAGATAATTTATGTCTTTAAAATTATGTTTAAAGAAATTTATTACAATCGTTATTCTAGTGTAGCTGATAATAAAGTACTTACGTGAATACAGAGTGTTTTCTATTAACGAATTATCAGTTTTTTTTCACTCTAAAGAAAATTTTTCATGAAATTTAGTAAACGCTGTCTATTTTCAGTAACTGGTCCTTTAGCTGAAAATCAAATAGCGTACATGTGCAGGGAAACGTTACTAGGTTTACAATACCTTCATAACATGGGGAAAATGCATCGAGACATAAAGGGTGCCAACATCCTTCTGACTGAATGTGGTGATGTCAAATTGGCCGATTTTGGAGTATCCGCTCAAATTACTGCTACAATAAATAAGAGAAAATCGTTTATAGGCACACCCTATTGGATGGCCCCAGAGGTGAGTTACCTTCATTATTTTTTTCATTTTTTTGTTATATATTTATTCTCTTCTGAGAATCTTCTCCAATTATTTTTTGAAAGTTTTTCAAGAGCATGGCAGGTTCAATAGTATAAGAAATTGTGGGAAGTTGTCGATTATATAATGGGAAAACCACTAATATTCTAGTGGACAATACGGGAAAAATACTTAGCCAAAACCAAGAAAGAAGCTGGACTAATAGCTAACATTCCAATAGAACTCGTAAAGAGTTCCAGGAGTTTTCAAAAGGACAAACAAAAATTGATACCATTAACGACATAATTGCACCATTTGAGTCATGTAAAACGTGGAGATATACTGATATGGCAATTTTTCAAATACGTTATTCAGTATGTGGAACAAAGATAACATCATATATATATATATATATATATATATATATATATATATATATATATATATATATATATATATCGTTTGCTATAACAACCTGATCATCAGCAAACTGCAATGTATACAAGCAAATCTCTTCAAGTTCTACGCCCATGCCTCTGCATGTTCGTTTCCACTCTTTCAATGCTTTTGCAATATATATATATATATATATATATATATATATATATATATATATATATATATATATATATATATATTAACCAAGGTCGGTGATAACACCCCTGACGTAGACCTTTATTAACCAGGAAGCTTTGCGATAGTTTGTTTCCAGTTTTTATTTGTGATGTTGACCCTTCATACAAATTTCTTAAGGCTTTTATTAAGGTGACACTAATATTCGTCTGTCGTAACACATTCCAGAGTTTGTTTACAGGAACTGTATCGTACACCTTCTGTAAGTCAATAAACATGAGGTGGGTTTGTTGATTTGTGGTTAATATTTTTTTTTCTATTAGTTATTTGAGGCAGAAGATATTATCAGTACAGCTTCTTCCTGTTCGAAAACCGAATTGTTCTTCTTCCTCTTGGTCTTTGTATTCCTTCTCAATGCGGTCTCTAATTATTCGCCCATACAAACGGCTGAATGTACTAGTGACTGATATCCCTCTATTTAAGCTTATCTCCTTTCTTATGGATAAACGAAATATAAGCAATTTTCCACTCGTCGGGTACGGGAGAACCATTTATAAATTGATTTATTAACCAAGTGACGGTTTCAAACAATTTTAGTTATCCACATTTTATTAGTTCGGCTGGGATATCACCTGGTCCTGAAGACCTACCGTTTTTCAGTTCTCTTATAGTTTTTCTAATTTCTGTCACTTGTATTGTTATATCTTCTCCTTCAATATTAACTTCTGTTGGTGATTGAGTTAAGTATTCGTCCCTATTTTCTGTCAGTAGTTCCCCATAGTACTTTTTCCATTTGTGTGTGGATATTAATTGAATGTTTGTGCTCTTCCTTTCGTTAGTTCTTATTTTACTGAGGAACTTCCATGTTTCTTCTTTTTTTCTCCCTCCCAGGTAGGTATTAATTTCCTGGGACTTCTTATCCCACATTTCTCTTTTGCGTTTACTGTTGTTCTTCTTGTTATTCTTTTGAGTTCCAATTATTCATCTCTATCTTTTTGTTGTTTACTGCTTAGCGATCTGATACTCAAAGATAACACTTAATTGTTTAAATAGAAGTGAGAGGCAGTCACCATCTCGAAGGGGTAGGTATGACTTTTAAACAGGATATCTAGTTTTTGTGTTGCTATATTTCTGTTACATCTTTACTTCTAAAATTTTAGTCTGATACATAAGTAATTACTATTTAAATGGGAATAAGCCACAATTAAAGGTTAAAGTAAGTTTATTGACGTTTTAATTTTCACTTCGGAAATCGTTCTCAAAATACAAATATTAGTAACAAAAATTACAAACAAAATTTGTTTAATTTACTAATGTTTGTATTTTGATAACGATTTCCGAAGTGGAAATTGAAACGTCAATAAACTTACTTTACCTTTTAATTGTGGCTTATTCCCATTTAAATAGTAATTACTTCAAAATGCCAGAAGAAAATAGCTTCAGAACAATATTAAGAAACTGTTATAGTGAAGTATCTTTGTAAGAATCTTAAGTGAACTATTTGAATAGACCTTATTTTATTATAGGTAGCTGCTGTGGAAAGAAAAGGGGGTTATAACCAGCTCTGTGATATTTGGGCAATTGGAATTACAGCTATAGAATTAGCCGAACTACAGCCTCCGATGTTTGACCTTCATCCTATGAGAGCGCTGTTTTTGATGTCAAAGAGCGGATTTAAACCACCTACACTTAAAGACAAAGAGAAATGGTGAGTACTATTATGTCGTATTTATGAGAGTTAAATTTAATTTAAATACTAAGATATACGTAAATATTTCTTAAAGAAAATGTATTTACTGTTTTTCAAAATGCACTGTTTGTGGGACTAGTTTATCTAGTTTTCCAGCAATATTTTATGTTTAAAAATCATAAAATCATACAGACAAGTTAGGCTCTATACTGTATTTTGTATAAAGTAAATAAGCACATTCACCAATAAAATCTAGATAATATGAAACCCCAGTTTTATGGACCAGCCAAATGTTTTTCGCGACACTGAAGAATAGTAAGTAATTTAGTGGTCCATTCTCAGGTCCTCTATTTATTTTTAACCCTGCTGTACCGTTCGAGTAAACTACACAAATGTACTGTTCGGGTCAATATGACCCAACTATGATTTACGCTCCCTAATAGAAATAAAATAAGCTAATGGTGCTAAACAAAACTGTATTAATAAAAAATTATAGTTAATTAAACAATAATTATATTGTTACTGTAAATTAAACCTTATTAACAAAAATAAAAAGCATTTTTTCTTTCCCAGAAAACCCTAAGAACAAATATCTACAAAATTTAATTCAGTTTACAACTGGGACAGTAATAGAAAGAATGGGTTTTACAAATATGTTTATGACATATACAACATAAAATATTAGTCTTGTTATCCCTTTTAGAGCAAAATTTACAGCGTGCTCGTTTAGCAGGCGGAGTTGGATGGTCCATAGACGGTTCACTAGAATTTCCATCTTCTCTACTCGCTTCTGCTCGTGTTCTTTTTACCAGTTCTTGTGAGTCTTTAGTTCTCGGTAAATTTTTCCTGGAAAGGATAAGTGGTTTCACCAGTGTTTTTCCCAACTCCTCAAGAAAAATTCGTCGTTTTGTAAGTTTATTGGTATTCCATTGGGGATTCATCGATGTCCATAAAACGAACGCGTTGTAGGCAGAAATGTCCAGCATATTGTAAAAAACAATCATGGGCCAGCGATTTGTCTTCCTCTTACATGTATATGTACCAACAAGCTGATCTAGAGTATCCACTGCCCCCTTACTGGAATTGTAATCTAAAATAATTTGGGGCTTCTTGTCATTTCTGTCACTAATAGCCTTTTCATGACGCAAAGTACTCATAAGAATAACATTTTTATTCTTTTTAGGAATATAGTTAACAACAGTGGTATCTTGTGTGAAGTAAAAAGACGAACTATGAACTTCTTTATTCGCAATTTGTGCTGGAAGCTCTCGTTTATTTTTTCTTATAGTCCCCAGCATTGTATTTTTTCTTTTTAGAAGAAGTTGTCCTAAATTGTACGATGTAAAAAAGTTATCACATGTAATATTGTGGCCTTTCAAATCACTACTCAAGTCACACACCACACGCATTCCCTGATTTCGTTGTGGCGCGGCACCTGCTTCCTTTCCTGTATAGATCTGCAATTTTAGAGCATAAGAACTTTTACTGTCACATAAGGCCCAAATTTTTATGCCATATTTCGCTGGCTTGCTTGGAATGTACTGTTTGAATGGACAGCGGCCTCTAAAGGCAACTAATTGCTCGTCGACGGTAACATTTTCATCAGGGTTAAAAAATTTTGGTAGATTTTCAACCCATTTTTCCCAAATTTTACGTATTGCAGCAAGTTTATCAGTACGTCTCCTATCCTGTCTAGTAGTCTTGTTATCAAAACGTATTACTTGCGAAATTTTTGTAAATACTTCAAGGGACATTGTTGCTCGAAATATACTACGACCCGTTTCTTCATTCCACAAACTTTTAGTTGATTCACCATGGGACTTAAAAACTCCAGCTAACAATAACAGATCAATGTATGCTTGAAAACCAATTTTATCTAAGTCTTTCCAGTTGTTTCTAAAAACACGCTGTCCTTCCATGTTGGTCATATTTATAATTTGGTTTGCAACTATGTCAGAAAAGAGTGCGTCAAATGAATTTTTAATATCGAAAATTCGTGCACATGCGTACCTTGTAACTCCTGGAGCATTATTTATAACATTGGCCGTAGAAAAACGACCGCGTTGATAAGGAGGATCGAGCGACCATTGGATAGTATCGTCTTTTGAAGGAACCGTTACAGAAGGTTCTACAGGATGTTGTACGTAGAATGGAACACCAAAGGATTCATCACTACTTTCTTCCTCACTCTCACTACTTGTATTGTTTTCTGTTTCTGATATGCACTCATCACTCTCTGACACGTTCGCGAGCTCGCGAAGCTCATCTTCGGTTAGCGCTCTACGGTGCGACATTATCAACATGCAAACATAGACTGAAATTTGAAATATAAACGAATAAATGAATGCGCTTGGCCTTGGAATATTAGTGTTTTACCACTTGTCTATCACCCCCACTTCCTTTTACGTGACATGTCATTCTACCTGACATCGTCCAGCTACACTACACATATTTTACAAGTTCTAGCTTGTAGAAACTTGTTTTTATTTATAGACGTACCTGACTGACAAACACTATTAGAAAATATAAAATACTACCAACTAAACATACCTATACAGGTAATTTTTAACGGTTTAAATAAGTGGGTCATATTGACCCGAGCGTACCATAGGTAACAATTTAATTTTTATCAAAAAAATGAGCAAGTTGATTTTTTATCTTTTATGCAATTGAAAGACCTCATATTAAGTAATAAAGTCACGAAACACCAAAACGTTACGCCGCGTAATAATTTGTAAAA